TTATTGGGGCTTTTAAGTTAGTTAGTTAGTTTAAAGCTAAAAACGTGTATCCCCAGGAAGAATTTCAGGCATGGAACTGCATTGGTTTGGAACTGCAGTGATAGGACTAGGAGAAATTGAAAGAGGGAAATTTAGATTAGCTATCATCAGGAAGAAGTTTTCCCTGTGAGGGTGGTGAGACACTGTCCCAGGTTGCCCAGGGAGGCTGTGGCTGCCCCAACCCTGGCAGTGTTCACAGCCAGGTTGGCTAAAGCCTTGAGCAACCTGCTCTGGTGGGAGGTGTCCCTGCCCAGGGCAGGGGGTTGGGGCTGGATGAGCTCTGAGCTCCTTTCCAACCCCTTAACAATCTATGAGTCTATGAACATACTTTCAAGCTGGTCACTGATGCAGGAAGAGCTTTTGGTGTAGCTATTAATGGCAGCAGCTGTGCTGAGCAGCACCTTGTAAAAGTCCTTAATTATGACAGTGAGGGACAATGCAGAATCCCTTTGCTAAGCCCACAGAGGCATTAACATTCCTTCTGTGCCTTGTGATGGGCACAGTGAAGGTGTGAGGGTACCGAGGCAGCAGGAGCTGCAGTGAGGGATGGTCTCATCCCTGCACCTTTGGAGCACCTGTCTCTGTAGAGTCTAATTGCTAAAGAGCTTGGTCCTAAATTTCAATTATCTCTTGATGAAGCTGGTGGTGTGGATGGCTTTTGAGTCTGTTGGATGTAGATGGAAGTAATTATATGAATAATGAAGAGAAGTAATTGAATTTGGGCACTCCTTTTCAGTTCTGTGGCTGGAATTGGGTGTCCCCATTTCTTCCTTCTCTGGGAAGAAGGGTTGTTACCATCAACAGATATTTTTCCTCTTCTCATGTAGCTTAAAGCAAAAGACATGATCCCCTCAAACTGTGGAAAGTGTGTGAGGAGATGGAAGTAATTATATGAATAATGAAGAGAAGTAATTGAATTTGGGCACTCCTTTTCAGTTCTGTGGCTGGAATTGGGTGTCCCCATTTCTTCCTTCTCTGGGAAGAAGGGTTGTTACCATCAACAGATATTTTTCCTCTTCTCATGTAGCTTAAAGCAAAAGACATGATCCCCTCAAACTGTGGAAAGTGTGTGAGGACAGGAATACCTGAGGCAGGAAATTGGAAAATGGACAGTGGAGGGAAATGTTTGCTGCAGAGCTGTTCTGGACCTCCTGCTCTTGGGAGGTTCAGAAGAAGGGACATCTTTGCTGAAGTGAGTGTCCTGAGAGCAGTCACAGATGACAACTACTGCTTAAGCATGACAGGGGGACGTTTATTGATGTGTTGTCGAGTAGAGCCTTAGGAATTTTAGGCACTGTTGAAAATTTGGCTGAAATGGATTGATTTCACAGTCTCACTGGAAGGCAGTGTAATGAAAAATCTTAAGCCACCTTGTTGTTCTCCCTGGGGAGCTGGCAGGACAGGCCTGAAGGTGTCCCATCCAAGGACTCACTTGGCAGAGCCTGTTTGTTGTGCAGCTCAGATGGGCAAATACCAAATACCTCCTTTGACCCTTTTCTGACTCAGGTGAGCAGCAGTGTGGAAGAGGGCAGAGCTGCCATGGCTCAGGCCCAGAGGTGCCAGGAGTCTCTGCTTAAACCATGTTTTATCTGAAGGCTGAAGGTCATAACAAGTCCTCGGTGGGTTTGGCTCCAGGGAGGGTGCAGAGAATCATAGAATCATCAAGGTTGGAGGAGACCTTTAAGATCATTGAGTCCAACCATTAACCTGTCACTGCTGTAACCCCTAAACCAGATCCTCCAGCACCAGATCCAGACACCTCTTCAACACCTCCAGGGATGGTGACTCCACCACCTCCCTGTTCCCTATTCCAGTGCCTGAACACCCTAACAGGGAAAACATTTATCCTAACATCTAATCTGAATCTCAAAGCAGCTTTAAACTGAAGAAGTGACAATTGCCTTTTTCCTGCCAGTGGTGCTGGCAAAGAGCTCACTCATTGCTGCTGAAGTATCAGTTTCCTGCTCTCAAAGATTTCCACTTCAGCCAGATCTCCCCAAAGCTGTCTAGAGGATGAAGCCAGACAAACCCTGGTGAGAAACCACACATGCAGTTTAGCAGTTAGAGTTAAGTGTAGCAGTGCAGGGTCCTCCCCCTAAAATCAGTTCTTTCCCTGACTGGGCACCTGCTGGAGGAGAGGTTGTAGCCAAACTGAAGTTACTGAGCCTGGAAATCCAGGAGGCAGCGATGGATGAGAAATCAGATTGCTGCTGGTGGTCCCTCCTGGCTCTAAGCTTTGAATAAAAGCCTGAAGTGTGCTCTAAGTAAGGGTCAATTGCCTTGAGGCTGGTCTGGGCCACCCCCCTTGTTACCAGTGTTCTCCTTGGCAGTGCTGGATCCTTGGGTCCCTCTAATTAAAGCAGTGAAATGTACTTAAACACATATGTCTGCACTAATTGCTCAGGACACATTTTCCAGTGCTCTGAGTTGCTGTAATGAAGAAGGGGACGTGCTGCTAGGCTGCTTAGAGCTTCACTGTTTTGAGCTGTCATGAGCAAATATGTCTTCTCTATTCCTGCCAGGAATAGCAGGAGCAGACGGTGCTGCTGCTTCCTCCAGCCTGCCACGGTGGAAGGTACAGGTTTCCTGCAGAAAAGTGAGCACAAGTCTCTTCTAGGCCAGCCATGTTTCCTGCTTGTCCTTTTGGAGGAAGAGCCACAGCTATTATTATTGTTATTATTATTATTATTATTATTATTTAACCATCAGACTCAATTTC